TCCCAAGTTTGAAAGCCAGAACCAAACATTAAGAAGTGCATCTGGGGATAATAAGAGTGTTCAAAAAGCAACTGTTATTAATAATCATTACAATTATGAAAAATAATGTGACAATATAATGTTTTTGACTTGCAGAGAAAGGCAGTCAAAATGGGTTATACATGTATGTCCCACAATTGGCATTTTAAATTGGGTCATTTCAGTAATGGTCTGGGTCAAACTATTATAATTCTGAACAAGTGACATTATCAAACTGACTTCTCCAGCAGCTTCACCGCCATCCTTATCCAGCCCATCTTCATGCTTTTCAGGTTCAACTGCTAATTTCTTTAGTGTAAAAAATAAACTTAGCTTTTGTTGTCGTTTCATAATGAAACAAAAACAAAAGAACAAAATGGACAAATGAAGCGTATTGATCAGATGCTGTGTAATCTGAGCAAGTGTAAAGAACTGATATTTAGAAAGAAGGAAAGTAGCGGTACACGCCATCAGTACGCTCCCATCAATAACATTTCTCAATGTGATAGCCTTGTATTGCTCGGACTGACTTTTCAGCCTAATTCTAAATTTAGCAAGCATGTCAGACTCAAGCTTACAAAAGCTAACAAGTGTCTTCAAATTCTCAGAACTCTACAAAAGGAACTCTTTAGCCAGAAGAAAATAGATCACTTGTTTAAAACCCTAGTTCTTCCCATTCTCACATATGGTCTTGCTGTGTATGGCGCTTCTAATTCTGATTTAAATGTTATACAACTTTTTTTAGACAGGTGCCATAAGGGTCATTTTACCTCTCAACCAGTCAGCATCTTTAATCTGTTAGAACAGCAAGATAAATCTGCTTTCAAAAGAGCTATTAATAATCATATGCTAGGTGCGATCATTCCCAAAGAAAAAGAATTAGTACATAATTTGCGTAGGAGAAGGTGTCACCTTCCTCACATAAAAACGGAGAGATACAAGGAAACTTTTGTAAATAGACTTACTTTTAAATATAATTTAGTATAGTATTTTTCTTCTTATATTACTATTGTATTTTATTGTGTATCTTTTAATACATTTCCACTGTAACGTAGGATATGTATTTTTATCCTTTGATTGAATAAAGACTATTATTATTAAAGACTATTATCAATCAGCAAAGAAACATGTGTAGAAGGTCAAAGTGTACGTTCCAGTCTCTCCTGGAATTGCATGGAACGCCTGACCCAAAAACTACTCGAACATAGCTAGCCTGAAATGACAGTCATTTTGCGCATTCATTTTGGGCTTGTAAGCTCACCTATTTTGCAAAATGTACTTTTATTATTGCCACTACGTTGGAAGTACTTGTACATACAAGGTAACTTCTTTTTTTGCACCAGTATGACTCCAAGATAATTTCATTTTGCGTCAGAATAGAATATATCTGTGTCAATGATGCAAAAACGCGGCCTAGATTGAACACTGGAAAGGGGTAAAAAATTAATAATAACAGATTGCTGTAAAAGGTGAAAGTTCCATAAAGGACACACACGTGGAAAGAGGTTGGAATGCTTGTCAGAATACAGTCAATTCTCGCCTTGTGGACACCTCGCTATTATGGACACCCCCGATAACACAGACGGCTGCTAAATCCTCAGTGATAATTACATACATTTCACTGAAACAAAATCCTGCTATTACGGACTCTCACTGTTATCGACTTACGGACACCTTCCTCAGTCCCGACAGCACAATTTTATTGTTCTAACTCTCGTTTCAACGGACATCAATCAGCATCTTTCGACATTTTGGCAGAATTACCTCAGATTATAAATATTTCTTCCTCTTCTTCTCTTTGTCTCTGTAACTTTAATTGAAAAGTGAACATTCTAATTCCTGTTTAACATGATCCTTTTATGAAACCACCGTACTTACTTGCAAAAAACAGTCATGACGTATTTAATGTACATAACTTGGTTTGTCTAGAATGGTACTTTATGGCTTTTGCGTACTACACATTTTTCAGTGACGGTTGTGGCAAACGAAAGTGAGACGTAAGTTTTGTTCTATAACCATTTTTCTTGTTTTTAAATAAAGTTCTGATGCTCTCTTTGTGGGAAAAACTGCACTGCAGTTGGCTCTGGAGACAATGTACAATGTGAATAAATGCAATTCCTCCAATAGTGATGAATTTTTTCTCCAACCCCATTATTATGGACTCTCGCTATTACAGACACTAAACTGCGGTCCCAAGGGTGTCCCCAATAACGGGAGTTGACTGTAGTGAGTTTTTTTACTGTGAAATTGTCATTTAGAATAATCATACTTAAGAAAGGTAAATTTGTTGGCTTCTAAAATGCTGTGATTTACTAAACTGTAGATGTTACTTTGACAGAGAACAGGATGGGAGCATGGAGAACAAGAAAATGAAAGATAGGAAACAAACTGATGAGTAATGAGATTACTAACATAGCTAAGGTTTAAGTTAGGTTTAAAAATAAGCTGGTTAGAACAAAAGGGAAAAAATAAACTAGGTTAAAAAATAACCTAAAAATGTTTTTGTCCTGTGAAATATTATGTTGTAGTTAATTTTTTATCTCAGGTAATTTTCCTTTTTCTTTTGTTTTGGGGAATGGTAATGTATGTTGATTAAGTTAAAACACAGGAAAAATAAAAATTACCCGAGATAAAAAATTAACTACAACATATACAGGACAACTTAAAATCTTAGTTACAGCCCAGTGTTGTGTGCATCAGAAAACTGCCATTAAATTTTGTACTTACCGGTTCCCAGTAATTGAATGTTTCATCACAGTCAGATATGTTGCTAAGAAAGGCAGAGCAGAACCTCGCTGACAAGAGCAGCTTAAATATTGTATAAGGTCTTGGGCTCCATACAGATTTGTCTGAATAGGCCAACTTTTTTTCACTGCAAAACAAATTACCAATTTTCTGATTGTCAAAAATTTTCCTTACTTTATTGTCAGACTCAGAAAACCTTGACACCTAAATTAATTAATTCAGTAAAGGGATGTTTATTAATTAGTGAACAATCACAACAAAGATCAGGAGACACAAGCAAACCACAAAACCACGAGCCAATGAGACTCTTTACAAATTAACTTGCAGAAAAATTCTCTGGTTACGATGACTCAGCTTATAAACAAAACTAAAACATTGTTTAGCATCTATCAATGTTATATTGTCTGACCATCTTGAATCAATTGTTCCTAAACTGCATTGAACATTAATTTTATTGGTTAATGGCTTCCAGTGCCAAGAAAAAGATATGTGACTTCAAAAGATTAAAAACATTTAGGAGGTGGGTTCCAGTGAAGTTTTACAGAACCAGAAAATTGTTAAGGATGGTGTCCTCTTATTTATGGCCACAGAACTGAAAAATTGTTTTCCATGGCATTCGAAATCCTAGGGCTTGGATTTAGTTTTCTAAAGCCTGAGTGGCCTTTTTACCTTTTTACACGATGAAACCAGACTTTTCAAGTTAGTAACACGACTATGTCGTCAGTCACAATTTCACAACCAATCTCTCACTCTGATGAGGTGACAACTGATTTCTACATGTAATTTGAGGGTTGGTTTCCAAGCTTAGATAGCTAACTCAATCTAAAAAAAAAAGTGTGCACGCTAATAGCGACGAAGACGATGAATTTGATGTTTACTGCTCCAGCTTTAAAATGATATGTGACTTCTTATTCCCACCTTTTTCCCACTTCTCATTACTTTTCCCAGCTCTAGGTTTAGAATCTCGAGATTTTTGCCTCTTGGGGTTTGGAAAGTCTGTAAGACTCCAGGAATAATTCTAGTGTTCCAGTTTTCTGACTTTCAACTAACAAATAATAAATAATAAATTATTATTAATCATTAACTACACAACTTTTGAAACATGTACATAAGGTGCTCAGCTTCACATTCAGTGCAGTTAATTTTTTTCTGCCTTTATACAGGCATGATGGCATGGAGAGGTAGAGAGTATAGAGGACTAACATTGCGACGAGTTTTGAAATCCTAGGGACAACATTAGGTCAATAGTACAGCATTCCATGCAACTTTAGAAAAGTATCCAAACAATGCGACTAATATTACCCACAGCATCACACAAAAAGACATTATATTCACTGTGGTGTCCTTAAATCAATGATCAGAAACTACTGAAAACCACAATGCACAAAGATAGACTACAATCACACTTAGAACGCCACAAAGGAACTTAGTAACTATCGTGTCAATTTTTACTTACAAGTCATCATCTACTGAGCTTGCTGCGTCGGTTGGAGACTCCGAACTTGTTGCAGACAATCCAGACTTCTGTCTTCGAGCGGCCATGTTGTTTATACGCCCACGGACGGCCACGTGTTACACAGCGGACTACTTTGAAAATTTCTATAAAAAGCTCTATGATTGGCTAGTGCGCAGCATGACCAATCATTAGCGCTGTAATATCTTACCAGTTTGCGAAATTAAAGATGGCGGATCACAAGAAGGAGCTGGAAGAAAGACTTCGTGAAGTGTGCTGTATTGGGGATGAGAAAAACGTTCAGCTACTGGTAGAACGGGGTGTTAACATAAATGCACCGAACGCCGTTAATGGCTGGACTCCTCTGCATTGGGCAGCAAAAAGGGGACATGCTAATATTGTGAAATACCTAATAAAAGAGGGAGTTGATACATCTGTGCTTACCAAGAAAGGAGAGACCGCCGCGCAATTAGCCAGTGACGAGACTATAAGAAATATGCTTGGAGCAGACCAGAACGTAGCTGTAAACTCAAGCAACGAAGCTTTACCTATTGTCCCGAACTACCTTCGCAATCCCGATTTCTTTTACACACAGAAAACTTCAAATAATGAGCTGACCATGGCCGAGAAACGGGAGCACACAGAGAAAGCTGATTTACCTGTGGTAAATCCAGAGGGTAGTATTACCCGCATGTATGAAAGATATGGGACCAAAAATCATTCACATGATTCAACTACTTTAGCTACTCAAAAAGATGATGAATTCGTATTAAGACTGCGAATTGCTGATGCAGAGGAAACGGACTTCATCGAGGTTGATTTTGATAGAAGTAACATGACATTTCAAAATTTCCAGGCAGTGTGTTGTGCAGAGCTAGGTATTGAGGCAATTAACCATGTTCAAAAGATAAGAAAGTTGCCAAACACAATTGTAAGAAATGATAAAGACGTGAAAAGATTGCTTTCCTTCCAGGAATTGGAAGTGGTATTGAAAAAGGGTGAGACAAAATAATGCTTTTGGTGATCAAAAGTTTATTGACTGCAAGAGCTACATGTACAGTGATTTTGTTACAGAGAAGTATGGTGAGTGCTGGGACTCGTCTTGTGAAAGATCGTGAGTCCGTCCCTGTCCATAACCAATGAGTCAAATGGATTGATTGTTCTTTGTGTCCTATGGGATGCATTCCATGAACAATTATTTTGTATCTTTGGGGATTTTTATGCATCAGGGATGCAGGACACAAAAGGACCAAAATCCCTGCATGTAGTAAAAATTTCTGGACAACTCCATGCATTTATGATGCATACATGTCATGATTCTATTCATTTTAAAACTTTGTGTTAAAAAATGTGATACTGCTGCATGCAAAATAAAATATTGTACAGGGATGGGTAGAAATCTTACTTAAAGTATGTACATGTAGGTTTAAATTAAAGGTTGCAAGTATCCAGAAAAACAGGTCTCTCTCCTTGCTCCTTGCTGTAAGGAACATTTCACCAGGATGAACATCGGGGGACAAGGAGAGACAGCTGTTTTTACAGGTTAGGTTGCAGGGGTTGTCAAGCGACTTTGAAAGACATGAAAGTGTGGTACATTGTCATAAAAGCACCAGAAAAGGAGGGTATGAGTCTCAGGAAGGTTCAGCAACATTCCAGGATACCATTTTGAAGTTGTGTGCTCAGTGCCTCGGCTTTTGAATGGAAGCAAGGCTGGTGGTGCCCTTGTTTTGTTAAAAAACCTGTTTTTCAAAGTAAATAATCCTGTTTACAGGCCTGTTTGCATGACTAATAATACTAAGGACAACTGATAAGGAATGTCAAATAATCCTACTCTAGCTGTCCTTTTCTGTCACAAAAAGGTCTGCTAAATGGGGAGTTTCCAAAATTTCTTGATCCTCTTGTTTTCAGTTTCTTCCTGGCTACCTGCATGGCAAGCATTAGAAAGATTTGGGGCATGTGAGAGCGTGAAGAGGATGCCCCAATTCCTTTCTTCTTCCCTTTTGAATGACTTCTGCACAGGCTAGCTCCGGGCTAAAGGTTCCTTTTCATTAATAGACTGTATGGTTGAGCAGCCTCTTTTTTGCAACTTCCTGTTCATCCCACTTCAATCTTTCTTTGATTTATGATCTGAAATACATTTCTTCTTTTTAAGCTTACTGGTCTCTAATACTCTTATACCATTCTGACTTCTTTTTCTTTCCAGCAAACAAAAACTGCTACTCCTGTTTTCATTTGTATTGCTCTCATCTCACTGTATTAAATACAAAAAATAAAAAATAAATAAATTTTATTTCATTTATTTTTGTATCTCATCGAGTTTATTCGTTTGCTAATAAAAGGCTGTGAAGACAGGACTTTACTCGGTCTACCGGCTTCGTAAAGGCTAAAAGCCAAGCAAGAGAGAAATGTCTGCTCCAGGGTATACTTGGTCACAACATCTTAAAATTTCATCTAAAAAAGTTTCCCGTCAAATTCATCAAGAAGATTAATAAAGGTTTCACACTGCTAGTGAAGTAATTCACAAGATGTGGAACGTCCATCTCCATCTCTTCTCAGCCACATTATCGCGACTATTTAAATTCTCCACCCAAGATTGGTTCTTGGGGGGTATTTAAATCCATACCCAAAAATCAAATTATCTTCGCGAAGCCCCTCCCCCACCCCACCCCCATCCAGTTCTTGGGTAGGTGCTATTTTTCCTGCCATTTTTTGTACATACTTGATTCAAGAAGACATCAATCAGTAAATTTGAGTTACTAGTACAAAGTTCTAAAACTTATACGACAAACTCGAGGGAAGCCATCGATTTGTTCGTTCTCTTACAGTAACCAAGCGCTCTTCTCATCTAGTCTTGACAGATTTCCTTGAAAGATTCAAAAAAAGCATTATAATCGGCCGGCACAACATCTTTGCACGTCAGACAATGATTCAAATAGTCTCTTCGAGGGAGTAAACCCTCTTGATAAAAACTCTCCGTGACAACATAGGTCGCCGCTTCAACTGTTTGTCCATCCAAAATCTCCACTTTTACATTCTGGCGCCGAAAACAGCCTTCTTTCACCAATTGAAACACATCTAGTTTGTCTAGGCCCCCTTCTTCGAGGGTATACAACGCTCCATAAACAACAGAGCTTTTTTTCGGTCTAATATTTCCCGCACCACTTCCATCAGGTCGTCTCGACGAAAAGCTAAACTTGTGATCGAGAAGTTTTGCTCCGACTCGAGCAGCAAAGGAAACTCTGCGTTGTCGCATTGTTTCCGGGTCCATGTTTGATCCATAGGCGAAGTACATCTCTTTGGCTTCCATGACTCTACAGGGATTTTTTCGTAAAATTCGACCCTTTCAACACTCAAGCGTTTAAGCCTTCCACGCGATGAGATAGTGGATCGAGTCTCTCTACTTCATGGCTGAATGACAAGAGGAAGGGTGGGAACTAGTTCTCTATCAGTTTCTTTCTTCGGAGGGGGTAAGAGGGGGGGTGGGGGGGGAACTCCAAGAACAACAAGCCACCCCACGAGAGGAGAAAAGGAGAGGAGGCATCCACTTCCCAGTGACTTCCTTTCTCACATTCTCCCCAGGACGTTCCATAAAAACTTACGTACTGGACAAAGCGCTAAGAACGCCGAAGGGAGGACGGAGGGGCTACCTACCAACATTTATTCCGAGGGTGTCCACCCCAAGGTCCAACTCCTTATACTGTTATATACCGTTATTGACAGAAAAGGTACCCCTTTGATATACCTGCCATGATAAATAATGCCCCTTTCAAATGCCTTTTACAGTAAGTCTTCTGGTCATTTTATGTTGCCTTAAGCAAATTAAATTGATGAAGCCATAAGGTGCGTCGGTTCAATAAATTTAAGTTAAAGGCCCCTTTAAAAACAGTTCACAAATTTCCTTACCCTTTCATGCACATTTAACTCAAGAAATCTCTACTCTTTTTTATACTTGAAGTTCGAAATACCAGGTAGCATGAGGTACTGAGGTAGGTACCCCTTTTGGGCAGAGCCTTCTAACATGGGCCATCACAGGGAGCGTCCCCCTAGGTAAGACGGTCTGTTTACTGGTCACATTCCACAGGCCAGAATACAGGTAAAAATAAATGGGACTAGAAGCATCTCCTGGCCTTAATCTCTAACCTAAATGTTGTTTTCATAGAAGAACTATTTCGTTGGTAATTGGCTAGCTAGCTGTCAATAGCACGGTGACCTATCCCAACCTGTGGGATCTGCGGGTTACCCTGCGGTCATGGTCAACTTTCCAGAATTTGGAAAGTACAATGTGATTGGCTAAGCTTGGGAAAGCGCTGTTGTTTTCTGTTGAGCAGGTGTTTGTGGGGAGGGAAGAAATACAAGTTCCCTAAAAACACCTGCATGGGAGGCTAATTTGGTGGCCCTTGCCCCTTACTTTTGCTTGTGGTCGACTATAAAACCTCAGTTTTTACATAAAAATGATATGCTGGGCTCCCTTGATTTCACAAGATCAGAGCATTGGGCTCCCCAGAATTTTTCTTGTGCACTACATGTCATTACAGTGGAACCTCTCCTTTGGGACACCTCTATTTAAGGGACACCTCCATTCAGGGGACACAAAATTTAGTCCTGGAAAAATGTTCAAATAATCTTTGTCCAGTGTCTGTTTCCTCTATTGAAGGGACACCTCTAGACAGGGGAAAGGGACACTTTTGAAACGCTGGGGGGCTCACCTTCCACCATGCCCTTATCCCTCCTCAAATTTTCCAAAATACCTTTGGCAATTTTAGTTGGCACAATCAAACCTCTTTCCAATCTTCACATGCAGTGTCCAGTGTGTCTGTAATTGATTTGTGACAATGCATCTGTAGGCAGTTGTTCCACGCTTGTTCAGGCAGACCTGCTTCATGGTGCTTCTTAGGTAGTTCTCGAGTCATCTTAGGGCAGAAAAGCTCTAAAGTTGTCGATGACACAGGTAAAATTCATCAATGTCAAATTCATCTGTAGGTGTTTTTCGGCACCAAAATGCGTGTGTGTGTGTGTGTGTGTGTGTGGGGGGGCTCTTCCTCCCAAATTTTTGTTTGGGGGGCTACGGTCCCCCCTGTCCTGCCATCTATGATTGCAGTTGTATACCAGAACCTCTTGCAAGTGACTGTGACCACATTTTGGGGGAATGATTCTCTATTGTTTTTAAACTCTTATAAGTGATTGGAGAACACGTGGTCTGATCTCTATGTCCGCTATATGTTCCATTGTACTTATAGCATAAAAAGAACTTTTAGCGACAACATGGAACTACACATATACAGTTTAGAATTGGCATGCATTGTATCATCTTCCGTAAAATAGAATGTGCCCAGACCTCTTCCTGGAAGAGAACGCCTGTTGTTCATTCCTTGTAAACCACCACCACTGTCTTGTAAGTGACCACTAAGTCTTCACATTGGTTACAGGAGGCTTAAATGTACTAAGGAAAGCACTTTTTTGCTGAAAAATTTCCATGGCAATGAAACATTTCATTTGAATTTTCACCATAATTACCAGGAGTTTCATAAAAATGGGCTATTGCATTTTAGTAAAATCCAACTATGGGTCTATTATCAATGCTGCATTCTGATTGATTGAGCTACTAAAAGGCTATATGTTATAGCCCACTGGTAGTGAAAAGCGCCAGCTTTTCGCCGGCAAAAAAAGGATTAAAGTCTAGTTTTAACCAGCTAAAGTTGTTTTGTCTTGATATTTTTTAACCAACTAGTTGGATTTTACTAAAACCATTATTCCTCTCACCCTCATGGCCTCTGAGTCAATAGCCCTTTCGGGCTCGAGGAATAATTGTTGTTAACATCTTACTCCCAACCCCCAGGTTGAGGGTTTACCTTCTCTTCTTACCCCTGAAGATTAAATAAAGTTGTATTCACCCTCTATGACATCATAAAAAATGGTTCTACCCCCTAAAGAATATGGATCTACTCCTGAAGAATTTGGTGAAAAAAAGCTTAACCTTCAAAGAATTCCATATTTTTTTCAGTCCACCTATAGAAATCCTCAATTTTTACGGCTTATATGAAGAATTTTTTTTTTGGTACTGATATTAAATGCAATAGGCCATTACGGTGAGCCCTCGCAGTTTTTACATTGCAAAGAAAGCATTTTGAACTGATTGCAAGTGCAGGTGCAAGTCAATGCAACCAAATGCAAGCCATCACAAGTATATGCAGCCCAGATGTAAATGCAGAAAAATTTTGATTGCGCCTACGTGTTTACAGTTTCATGGAGGAATAAGGATTTCTACCCTTGTGTTTGTGCAAAAACTTTAGCTTGCATCACTACCAAAGGCCAGGCTTAAGGAACAAAGCATGGTTGTCCACTGTGTTTCGACAACTTTACTAATAATAACACGTAAGACGCAAGGAAAGTAAGCTAAAATTACTGTATAAAACTTTGAACATGCTTGGAAAAATAGTGTGTGTAAATTTAAGTCATGAGGAATCCAACTATGGAGTTCATTTATAAAGAATTCTTAGCACAACATCAATTCAAAAGGAGATAAATAAATAACTATGAGTAACTAGTACTTCTTAAATTATTTGTAAGCTTAATGGAAACAGTGTTCATAACATGGGACAAACAAAGGAAGCTACGAATTTCTCCCTTGCTTATGCGCTCTTGTCTAATCGTGACAGATTTCCTTGAACGATTCAAGAAAGGCATAATATTCGGTCGGTACAACATCTTTGCATGCCAGACAATGATTTAAATAATCTCTTCGAGGGAGTAATCCCTCTTTGTAAAAATCTTCGGTGACAACATAGGTCGTCGCTTCAACTCTTTCTCCGTCCAAAGTCTCCACCGTGACGTTCTGCCGACGATAACATCCTCTATCTACCCATTCAAACACGTCTAGTTTGTCTAAGCCACCTTCTTCGAGGGTATACAACGCTCCATAAACAACGGAGCTTTTTTCTGGTCTAATATTTCCCGCACCAGTTCCATCAGGTCTTTTGAACGAAAAGCTGAACTTGTGATCAAGAAGTTTCGCTCCTACTCGGGCGGTAAAGAAGGCTTTGCGTTGTTGCATCCTTTCTGGGTTCATGTTTGATCCAAAGGCGAAGTACATCTCTTTCGCCGCCATACTTGTAATTTTGCTGAGATTTTTTCGCAACAGAAAAAACGTTTTTGAATAGACAGGTCGTTTTAGCAGCCGGTTCCAAATTGTTAACATGCGAGGCCGGCAACCACGACTTTTTAAAAAAAGGGACAGTGTCCCGATTATGCGCACGCGCGAGCGTCATCTGTTTTTTCTTCAAAAGACAATAGAACTGTCAAATTGACTCGACAAGATTTCCTTCCGGATCGCACCGCCGACAGAGATTTGTTGTTTATATTCTCAAGTAATATTTTAGACTTTCGAAGAAGTCGTTCGTGTTATATAAAAATTTGGCTCGCGGTTCGAAGACTCGTCGCGATTTTATCGCTAGCTGGGCCGCCTCGCGACCCGAAAATCTCGTTCCGCTCGCTTTAAAAACATATTTTCTAATTTGAAACTCGTGTCAGAGGTCAATCGCTCCAAGGCCAGTAATATCTGCCTGATTTGCTCGCGTTCTAGCCTCAAACGTTTGAAAGACATAAATAAAAATGCAATCTCAACGCTATGAATCATCACCAAGATTAGTCAAGAATGATATTATGATTTATGTCACTAGTTTTTCAAAACGTGTAGCGCCTGTTTGTTCGATTTTGTCTGCCGTAAGGAGATTCATTTAAAAGTTTGCTAACGCGTCGTTGCAAAACATTCTGCTTCACGAAGCTCCCCTCCACAATATCTCCTCAGTCACATCAATGTCTCAACGGTTTCTTTCTTACAGTCTTTATTGTTGCTGTTTCATTTCTGCGTATTCCTTTCACAATTATCTGAGCTTGTATTGAAACACATCTAGTTTGTCTAGGCCCCCTTCTTCGAGGGTATACAACGCTCCATAAACAACAGAGCTTTTTTTCGGTCTAATATTTCCCGCACCACTTCCATCAGGTCGTCTCGACGAAAAGCTAAACTTGTGATCGAGAAGTTTTGCTCCGACTCGAGCAGCAAAGGAAACTCTGCGTTGTCGCATTGTTTCCGGGTCCATGTTTGATCCATAGGCGAAGTACATCTCTTTGGCTTCCATGACTCTACAGGGATTTTTTCGTAAAATTCGACCCTTTCAACACTCAAGCGTTTAAGCCTTCCACGCGATGAGATAGTGGATCGAGTCTCTCTACTTCATGGCTGAATGACAAGAGGAAGGGTGGGAACTAGTTCTCTATCAGTTTCTTTCTTCGGAGGGGGTAAGAGGGGGGGTGGGGGGGGAACTCCAAGAACAACAAGCCACCCCACGAGAGGAGAAAAGGAGAGGAGGCATCCACTTCCCAGTGACTTCCTTTCTCACATTCTCCCCAGGACGTTCCATAAAAACTTACGTACTGGACAAAGCGCTAAGAACGCCGAAGGGAGGACGGAGGGGCTACCTACCAACATTTATTCCGAGGGTGTCCACCCCAAGGTCCAACTCCTTATACTGTTATATACCGTTATTGACAGAAAAGGTACCCCTTTGATATACCTGCCATGATAAATAATGCCCCTTTCAAATGCCTTTTACAGTAAGTCTTCTGGTCATTTTATGTTGCCTTAAGCAAATTAAATTGATGAAGCCATAAGGTGCGTCGGTTCAATAAATTTAAGTTAAAGGCCCCTTTAAAAACAGTTCACAAATTTCCTTACCCTTTCATGCACATTTAACTCAAGAAATCTCTACTCTTTTTTATACTTGAAGTTCGAAATACCAGGTAGCATGAGGTACTGAGGTAGGTACCCCTTTTGGGCAGAGCCTTCTAACATGGGCCATCACAGGGAGCGTCCCCCTAGGTAAGACGGTCTGTTTACTGGTCACATTCCACAGGCCAGAATACAGGTAAAAATAAATGGGACTAGAAGCATCTCCTGGCCTTAATCTCTAACCTAAATGTTGTTTTCATAGAAGAACTATTTCGTTGGTAATTGGCTAGCTAGCTGTCAATAGCACGGTGACCTATCCCAACCTGTGGGATCTGCGGGTTACCCTGCGGTCATGGTCAACTTTCCAGAATTTGGAAAGTACAATGTGATTGGCTAAGCTTGGGAAAGCGCTGTTGTTTTCTGTTGAGCAGGTGTTTGTGGGGAGGGAAGAAATACAAGTTCCCTAAAAACACCTGCATGGGAGGCTAATTTGGTGGCCCTTGCCCCTTACTTTTGCTTGTGGTCGACTATAAAACCTCAGTTTTTACATAAAAATGATATGCTGGGCTCCCTTGATTTCACAAGATCAGAGCATTGGGCTCCCCAGAATTTTTCTTGTGCACTACATGTCATTACAGTGGAACCTCTCCTTTGGGACACCTCTATTTAAGGGACACCTCCATTCAGGGGACACAAAATTTAGTCCTGGAAAAATGTTCAAATAATCTTTGTCCAGTGTCTGTTTCCTCTATTGAAGGGACACCTCTAGACAGGGGAAAGGGACACTTTTGAAACGCTGGGGGGCTCACCTTCCACCATGCCCTTATCCCTCCTCAAATTTTCCAAAATACCTTTGGCAATTTTAGTTGGCACAATCAAACCTCTTTCCAATCTTCACATGCAGTGTCCAGTGTGTCTGTAATTGATTTGTGACAATGCATCTGTAGGCAGTTGTTCCACGCTTGTTCAGGCAGACCTGCTTCATGGTGCTTCTTAGGTAGTTCTCGAGTCATCTTAGGGCAGAAAAGCTCTAAAGTTGTCGATGACACAGGTAAAATTCATCAATGTCAAATTCATCTGTAGGTGTTTTTCGGCACCAAAATGCGTGTGTGTGTGTGTGTGTGTGTGTGGGGGGGCTCTTCCTCCCAAATTTTTGTTTGGGGGGCTACGGTCCCCCCTGTCCTGCCATCTATGATTGCAGTTGTATACCAGAACCTCTTGCAAGTGACTGTGACCACATTTTGGGGGAATGATTCTCTATTGTTTTTAAACTCTTATAAGTGATTGGAGAACACGTGGTCTGATCTCTATGTCCGCTATATGTTCCATTGTACTTATAGCATAAAAAGAACTTTTAGCGACAACATGGAACTACACATATACAGTTTAGAATTGGCATGCATTGTATCATCTTCCGTAAAATAGAATGTGCCCAGACCTCTTCCTGGAAGAGAACGCCTGTTGTTCATTCCTTGTAAACCACCACCACTGTCTTGTAAGTGACCACTAAGTCTTCACATTGGTTACAGGAGGCTTAAATGTACTAAGGAAAGCACTTTTTTGCTGAAAAATTTCCATGGCAATGAAACATTTCATTTGAATTTTCACCATAATTACCAGGAGTTTCATAAAAATGGGCTATTGCATTTTAGTAAAATCCAACTATGGGTCTATTATCAATGCTGCATTCTGATTGATTGAGCTACTAAAAGGCTATATGTTATAGCCCACTGGTAGTGAAAAGCGCCAGCTTTTCGCCGGCAAAAAAAGGATTAAAGTCTAGTTTTAACCAGCTAAAGTTGTTTTGTCTTGATATTTTTTAACCAACTAGTTGGATTTTACTAAAACCATTATTCCTCTCACCCTCATGGCCTCTGAGTCAATAGCCCTTTCGGGCTCGAGGAATAATTGTTGTTAACATCTTACTCCCAACCCCCAGGTTGAGGGTTTACCTTCTCTTCTTACCCCTGAAGATTAAATAAAGTTGTATTCACCCTCTATGACATCATAAAAAATGGTTCTACCCCCTAAAGAATATGGATCTACTCCTGAAGAATTTGGTGAAAAAAAGCTTAACCTTCAAAGAATTCCATATTTTTTTCAGTCCACCTATAGAAATCCTCAATTTTTACGGCTTATATGAAGAATTTTTTTTTTGGTACTGATATTAAATGCAATAGGCCATTACGGTGAGCCCTCGCAGTTTTTACATTGCAAAGAAAGCATTTTGAACTGATTGCAAGTGCAGGTGCAAGTCAATGCAACCAAATGCAAGCCATCACAAGTATATGCAGCCCAGATGTAAATGCAGAAAAATTTTGATTGCGCCTACGTGTTTACAGTTTCATGGAGGAATAAGGATTTCTACCCTTGTGTTTGTGCAAAAACTTTAGCTTGCATCACTACCAAAGGCCAGGCTTAAGGAACAAAGCATGGTTGTCCACTGTGTTTCGACAACTTTACTAATAATAACACGTAAGACGCAAGGAAAGTAAGCTAAAATTACTGTATAAAACTTTGAACATGCTTGGAAAAATAGTGTGTGTAAATTTAAGTCATGAGGAATCCAACTATGGAGTTCATTTATAAAGAATTCTTAGCACAACATCAATTCAAAAGGAGATAAATAAATAACTATGAGTAACTAGTACTTCTTAAATTATTTGTAAGCTTAATGGAAACAGTGTTCATAACATGGGACAAACAAAGGAAGCTACGAATTTCTCCCTTGCTTATGCGCTCTTGTCTAATCGTGACAGATTTCCTTGAACGATTCAAGAAAGGCATAATATTCGGTCGGTACAACATCTTTGCATGCCAGACAATGATTTAAATAATCTCTTCGAGGGAGTAATCCCTCTTTATAAAAATCTTCGGTGACAACATAGGTCGTCGCTTCAACTCTTTCTCCGTCCAAAGTCTCCACCGTGACGTTCTGCCGACGATAACATCCTCTATCTACCCATTCAAACACGTCTAGTTTGTCTAAGCCACCTTCTTCGAGGGTATACAACGCTCCATAAACAACGGAGCTTTTTTCTGGTCTAATATTTCCCGCACCAGTTCCATCAGGTCTTTTGAACGAAAAGCTGAACTTGTGATCAAGAAGTTTCGCTCCTACTCGGGCGGTAAAGAAGGCTTTGCGTTGTTGCATCCTTTCTGGGTTCATGTTTGATCCAAAGGCGAAGTACATCTCTTTCGCCGCCATACTTGTAATTTTGCTGAGATTTTTTCGCAACAGAAAAAACGTTTTTGAATAGACAGGTCGTTTTAGCAGCCGGTTCCAAATTGTTAACATGCGAGGCCGGCAACCACGACTTTTTAAAAAAAGGGACAGTGTCCCGATTATGCGCACGCGCGAGCGTCATCTGTTTTTTCTTCAAAAGACAATAGAACTGTCAAATTGACTCGACAAGATTTCCTTCCGGATCGCACCGCCGACAGAGATTTGTTGTTTATATTCTCAAGTAATATTTTAGACTTTCGAAGAAGTCGTTCGTGTTATATAAAAATTTGGCTCGCGGTTCGAAGACTCGTCGCGATTTTATCGCTAGCTGGGCCGCCTCGCGACCCGAAAATCTCGTTCCGCTCGCTTTAAAAACATATTTTCTAATTTGAAACTCGTGTCAGAGGTCAATCGCTCCAAGGCCAGTAATATCTGCCTGATTTGCTCGCGTTCTAGCCTCAAACGTTTGAAAGACATAAATAAAAATGCAATCTCAACGCTATGAATCATCACCAAGATTAGTCAAGAATGATATTATGATTTATGTCACTAGTTTTTCAAAACGTGTAGCGCCTGTTTGTTCGATTTTGTCTGCCGTAAGGAGATTCATTTAAAAGTTTGCTAACGCGTCGTTGCAAAACATTCTGCTTCACGAAGCTCCCCTCCACAATATCTCCTCAGTCACATCAATGTCTCAACGGTTTCTTTCTTACAGTCTTTATTGTTGCTGTTTCATTTCTGCGTATTCCTTTCACAATTATCTGAGCTTGTATGGAAGCTAGCAGAAGAAATAAGCCTTCAATCGGCATCAAAGTGCTTCCAATCTTTTGGTCCTCCGGCCAACGGCAATAAAAGTAACGCCAAAAAATCCAGATTTTGCCCAAATAAAAACTTAACAGGAACAAAATATCATTGATCTATAATCCTGAGAAGTTTTAGTGTCGTATTGAACCCGGCCAAGCGCGATGCAAACGAATTTTTCAAGATTCTCTTACTCTCCTCGCATCTTTTGATTTCGCGACATCCTGTCCAAAAGTCAAAGTTTGGTGCATGCGCAGTAACTGGATACTGTTCCTTTAACATTTGACATAAATTCTTCCCATTACTTCCGCGCTCTTCCAAATGACTTGTACCCAGGTTTTTCTCTTCTATTCTCCTCGTTTTTCAGGGTTTTCACCCCACCCCCTCCCCCCGCCTCGGACGGGGGAGGCGGGGTGGTGTGAGTGATGGTACTGCGATATTTAACAATTATTCCTCGAGCCCGAATGGGCTCTGACTCCATCGGCCTCATGGGCTATTGACTCAGAGGCCATGAGGGCGAGAGGAATAATTGTTTTCGTAAAATCCAACTAGTTGGTCAAAAATATCGAGACAAATCAATTTTAGCTAGCAAAAAGCGATTCAGCAGCCATTGTTTTGGTTTTCAAAGCAGGCGCTTTTCGTTACTAGTGGGTTATAACATATAGCCTAGTAGTAGCTCAACCAATCAGAACGCAGCATTGAAAATAGACCACTAGTTGGATTTTACTAAATGACATATATAGGCTGCCGCTAATTGCTGCCGCTGTGAAAGGTACAGCCTGGAGGAGGAGCTTTTTTTCTGCTCTCATCTCTTTACGCTGTCCGCAGGATCTGAACGCTTGGAACAGGCCATAAAGGGTATGGTTTTCAAAAGCCGTTTACTCTGGGATAGGGCATAGACTGAGAGTTTGGGTCTACCTAGAATAGGGTACCATTTCCCAAAGAATACTAGTTGACCAACTTCTAATATGGTGTCCGTCTGGTGGGAGACAATCACCCCCGGCAACAACTAACTTTAGACTCGTTGCTAGAAAACAATAAATATCTTCTTTCTGTATACTTGTTATGCCACCGATAAATTGTTCCAAAATGCAGAATTTAAAGAAAATTTTTCAATAAAAGTTTGAAGAAAATGTTAACTGAGTCATGTGTCATTTTTTTTTTCGCCGTCCCGTACTGTTTTAAGCGCTATTTTGCGAGATGAATATTTGACCTATTCATCCTATTCACAGTAAAGTTGGACTTAAGTTGTTCTTCATGTAATATTACTGAAAGAAACAATCTGACTTCAACTGATGTTACCTAACGCTAACCCCCTCAGACCCCCTAGAGGCTCGACAACCTCGTCCCCAGGGCTTTTCCCTTGAAGGGAAAAGCCCTGGGGACGCGGTTGGACGCTCGAGCCTTCGGCGCTTAAGCATACTTCCTATTTTTCTTAAAGGGTTTGGAATCTCTGCGTTTTTATACTTGAGGAGCCACCCTCGTCCCCAGGGCGCTTTCCCCCAAAGCCAGAGAAAAGCGCCCTGGGACGAGGTTGTTAAGGAGTCAGTATACTTGAGAATATACTTTGGTAAGAGTTTGTCCTCATATTTTTGCCGTACTGACCTATTGGTTTGTGATATGATAAAAAGTCTTACACAAAAATTATCCAGTGTACTGACTTAATTGAAGAGAGGAAAACCAAAAAACCGTAAAAATGTTTACGGCCCAATTTCTCAGTAGCCTGCATCGCAGACATAATCTAACGCCGGTTAGTAACGTCTGCGAAGCAGCGCTGATTTTTCTTGTTCTGGGTCCCCAAAGGACTCAATGAACTACAGGAAATGTTTTGTATTTCCCTTCAACCTGATTAGCAAATCGACAATGGCTTTTTTTAAACAGGCCAATCATGGCACGTACTCAAATCCTTGTACACATGTGGGCGCCCAGAATAAGGATTTTTGCGCTGTTTCGCACACGGACTCAAACACAAGTTAATATCCTCCTGTGGCGACTAGTGAGAGCAAAATTTCATCCTTTTATAAACCCACGTCGTGCTCTTTCCGTTAAAATGCCTTTTTTATTCTCGTGCATAAATAGTATCTTTTTACTAGTGTTTTAAAAACAGTCTTCTGTGCAACTCTCTTCAAAACAACAGGGGAAAGGTCGGATGGAGAAAACTAAACCGGATTAAAAGTACGTGAATAGAATACGGTCGCCATGTGCTGCTTTAAGGTTCGAGCGCACCGATTCACTGATGTTATTTCCAGACAAATTCAACGCTGTCAGAGTTGTGTTTGTTTTAAGCACTGTGGCAAATGACTCAGCACCAGGAAGACCAATGTCATTGTTAAACAAATTCAAATCTGTCAGAGTTATGTTCTTTTTAAGTGCCGCAGCGAGTGTCTCAGCATCAGCGGGACCGAGATAATTACGCGACAAATCCAAGTTTGTCAGACTTGTGTTTGTTTTAAGCGCTGCGGCAAGTGGTTCAGCATCCCCAGGACCAAGATCATTTCCACGCAAATTCAACTTTTTTAGAGTTGTGTTTGTTTTAAGCGCTGTAGCAAGTGACTCAGCACCAGCAGGACCAAGATCATTGTTTAACAAATTCAGGTCTGTTAGAGTTGTGTTCGTTTTAAGTGTGGCAGCGAGTGACTCAGCATCAGCAGGGCCAAGGTAATTGCGAGACAAATCCAACTTTGCCAGAGTTTTGTTTGTTTCAAGCGCTGCAGCAAGGGACTTAGCACCACCAGGCCCAAGTTTGTTGTAATACAAATTTAAATCTGTCAGAGTTACGTTTGTTTTAAGCGCTGTAGCAAGTGACTCAGCACCAGCAGAACCAAGGGCATTGTTTAACAAACTCAGATCAGTTAAAGTTGCGTTTGTTTCAAGCGCAGCAGCGAGTGACTTAGCACCAACAGGGCCAATGTTATTGTAAGACAAATTCAATTTTGCAACAGTTGAGTTTGCTTTTAGCGCTACAGCAAGTGACTCAGCACCGGCAGGCCCAAGGTTATTGCCAGACAAATGTAAAACCGATAGAGTTGTGTTTGTTTTGAGCGCCACAGCAAGAGACTCAGCACTGGTAGGGCCAAGTTGGTTGGTAGACAAATTCATTTCTGTCAGAGTTTTGTTTGTTTCAAGCGCTACAGCAATTGACTTAACGCCAGTTGAGCCAAGGTTGTTGCCCGACAAATTAAACTCTGCCAAAGTTGTGTTTGTTTTAAGCGATGCAAAGAGTGAATCAGCCCCAGCATGGCAAAGGTTGTTGCCAGACAAATTCAGCTTTGTCAGAGTTGTGTTTCTCTTAAGCGCGGCAGCAAGAGACTCAGCTCCGGCCGGACCGAGGTTAATGCCAGACATATTTAACTCTGTCAGAGTTCTGTTTGTTTCTAGAGCCGAACCAAGAACAACTGCAGCAGCTTCATCCATCCGCTTATCACTGAGATCAACTTTGTGAACCTTAAGACTTGAGCCGAAGGATTGAGCGATATCGGTGAGGAAATCACCGTCTTCCTTTTTACATTCTTTAATGCATTCCAGTGCGACAAGTAGACTTTCTTCCGTATCTTTTTTGCTGACTTCATTTGCTACGCCTTTGATAAGAGCAACTAGACTTTCTTCCGAACTCACTGCCAGTAGACCACAGGTAAATTGCAAAACCTGTCGTAACTCGCGGAAATATTTAGTGTCAGTTACTAACATTTCAGGACTGATTTGTTTGCTAACAAGCTGGCAACAAAGATAATGTCAGGCGAAGAATTCTTGGAAACTTTTATGGGTAAAGCCGTAGCACAAAGACGGTCTTCGTTTGCTGCTTCCAGGTTGAACTGACAGAACTCCAAATCTAGGTAAGTCAGTATGTTGATTCGCGAGCTGTTTGGCACCAAAGTACATGTTGTCTTCACGTAGACAGTTCAAGGCTATCGAGCCAAGATGGCTTAATTGGTCTTTGTAGAGTTCAAACATATCCTCACTGTCTACTGGTAGAGCTTTCTTTTTCCTATATCTTATGAGAACACACTGTACTATTTCCAAATACAACTGAGTTCTGCTTTCAGGTAGAGTACCTTGAAAATCTTCACAAAGAAGGCAAAGAAGTGCAGTATTTAAAGGGTTAGCTATCATCTCCTGTAGGCTGCTGTCGTTTCTTAGCTTGTCAAGGAGTCCTTGGACTAGTTCTTCCTTGCCCTTAAAGAATTTCATTATGAATTCAAAAGCATCTTCTAAAGTGAATCCTTCAATCTCTAGCAGTGTATCACAAACTTTTCTTACTGGTATCCCAGCTTCGTGTCGCGCTGTAACCACCAAGTGGCATCTGGGAAGCATTCTACCTTGTATGATGTCGGTAAACTCGGGCATCTTACTTGGGGGTAGCTCATCCAATCCATCAAGTACCAGAAGAACTTTAGATTGATTTCGACGAATGAACTCAAAAAATTTCTCTCTTTCTTCTCTTTGAACTTCACGGGGCAAAAGTTGGTCATCAATGGCTTCCCATACGTTGGACTCGACGCCAACATCACGACATTTAAGCAACAGAACCAACTCAAATTGCGGGAAGCAATCCTCTCCAACGTGTTTCTTTGTGGCCCAATCGTAAGCAATCTTATTGCAGTACGTCGTCTTTCCCATACCAGGCTTTCCTTCAATCAACACTTTCTTGGGCTGTTTGCATTCTTCGTGCGGTTGGAAGATTTTGGTCATTTCAACAACTTTTCGTGTGGCTGTCTCTCTTGCGTTTTTTCCTCTGCTAACCATAAGGAGACGTGTATAGATATCGTTAAGATGAAACTGAAAGTCTTCGCACCAAGGAAAGGGCGCGAGCCATCCCTCATGACGTTCGTACTTTTGGCGAATGTTTTCAATATGCTCTTCTATAAGAACAACTAAAATATAGAATAAAGGAAAATTAACTCATCCTTTTATACTTAATAAAATACTATATTATTGCCTGCGGTCCTTTGATTAGAGAGACCAAGGAATAAATAAAAGAAGAGGGTCCAGAATATTATGAAAGTTTTATACAAAAAAGATACGGCCATATAACGTTGCTGCAATTCAAGAGAAAATTGTCTTATTCCAATACAGTCGAACCTGTTTATAACGGCCACCCTCGGGACTTCAGGAACTGGCCGCTTTATACAGGATCGCTAAAATACTCATTAGGCGTGGTTTAACATCAATGTTAGTGGTGTATCATACAAAAACACTTCATGCAAGGAAACTTCAAGCGATCAACTGGCCTTAAACAAAGTTTAGTACCAACTTGTAACTAAACGGTATACGTAACATTGTGTAAAAGTATTGTGCAATAAATTGTCCTCTACTCTTCTACGGTATACAGTACTGTATTTCTATGACTTGCAGAGCGGGACATGGGGGGTACGGTATTGCGGTTTTTAGCTTTTTTTAAGCGGTATTTCGGTAATTTTGATTTTAATGTGCAGTATTGCGGATAAAATGAAAGATTTCCGTTCAAGGGTGGCCGCTTAATGCAGGAAAAAATAACAAAGGAAGACAAACATACGACCGCTACTGGGTGGCCGTGGCCGTTAAATAGAGGTGGCAGCCTAATACAGGTAACTTAATACCGGCCGCTTAATACAGGGACGTTATATACAGGTTCGACTGTATCATCAACAGCTTATTAGGAATCAAAACTCCAGAAGCACGGCGTATTTCTGCTACCGCATTTATTCTACTGAAACGTACCGACCCACTCCTTACCGGTAAGGCCTAACAAAAACATGACTAACAAATCACACCCAGTACTGAGTCATAAGAACCGTTGTGTATCTAATCTGTCATGAAGAAGTTTCCAGATCTGAAACTGACCTTCAGTCGGTTTTTTTGCTCGATCTTTGCTTTCCAACTTGTCCTTGATCTGTTCGATTTCTTTTCTAATTTGTTCTAGGTTGTCTTTCATATTAACTGATGACAGAAAGGAGATATACTACAACGTAAATATACACCAATATTATAGTATGTTCTATCACGGTATTAAAGGGACTAACGTTAGTAAAACAAAAGATATACATAAATTAAGTTACGACGCATAAAGATACCACGTAAAATGGAAAAGCAGATATAAGCAGGGATCTGTTTCTTGAAAGTTTCGGTAACTTTTCGCCCGAAGCCATATTTTAAAATAAAAATCTGAAGAATTTCAGTGCAGGTTCTAATCCCGTAACCAGTCCATTTTGTTCTCTTGTTTCTCTCTCTGGTAATTATATGGTATCATTTTCAAAACTGTTAAAACTTCAATCTTAAAGTCAAACACGACAAACATAAAGCGGCCTTCCAGTCCTAGTGATTATGATTCCTGAGAATAACCTAGCCTGAGAAAAGAGTCCTCATGTTGCAACATCACCGTTAACCTAACAACAGCGAGTGAAGACCCTCAAGGGATAGCGGACTCAATGGGTTATGCTCGAACACAAATACGCCCGTTAAAAAGCACCTAGTTATTACATTGTTTCATACCTTCAAGTGTCTCAAGTTTTTCCTTGATATTATCTTCGTCTTTTTTCCAGTCTTTCAGCAGCTCACGGCAATGTGCCTCCACGTCTGGATCTATACTCTCAGTCTTCAGCCTATTGATACTAGCTACATCTACTCCCAGGGCAACCAGTGCGCCATTTATATCCTTCCACAAGGTATGAAATGTTGGATCGTCCACAGACGCCTGGATGGCATGCCCATAGACTTTATTTCTATAGTACTTCACTCTGGCTATGTTAGCCTCAACACTGGTGTCTGAACTGGGTGAAAGACTGTCCCATCCCGTAGCAGGCGGGTTGAGGGGACAGATGTTCCTGA